ATTTATTACCCAATGGTACATCCTGTGAAAGGTACCTTTCTAATATTTGTTTGAATAGTTTCCATTTTTCCTCAGTTTTTTTATCACTAAGGAGTTTATGCCAGTTGATATGTTGTAGAGCTGCCCTAATCTTATTAAAATTGGCTTTTTTTAAATTATACGTTTTAATATACCCCACATGCTTTTGCTTTTTTGAGTTTATTTCAAAAGTTACCATATTGTGATCACTATTTCCCAAATGCTCCCCTACTTGAATGTTGGTTAAAAGATCAACATTGTTTGTTATAACGAGATCCAGACAAGCACCCTTTCTAGTTGGTGCTTGTACCAGTTGTGACATAAAGGTGTCATTTTACACATTCAAAACCGGATTCCCCTTGCTGAAGTACTAGTCCCTCTATCCCAATTTATGTCCAGGTAATTAAAATCTCCAATAATTAACGTGTTACCCCGATTTGCAGCTTTCCCAATTTGCTCTAACAGCAGTTCTTCATCATTAATATTTACATTTGGGGGTTTATAACATATCCCAACCAATAATTTATTTCCCTTTGTTTGCCCCAAGCAGATATCTACCCATAAAGCTTCCACATTTTCCTCGTCACACTCCACATGCCTAAGATTTGACTTTAACTCATGGCTGACTTGACCCTCAACTCGCAGCCTAGACTCTTGTTTGGGCGGGACAGCTATAATCACTACAGGGATTGCTATGCTCTTCATACTCCCTTGAATAATCACTAAGCTCTTGTAAGAGCTTGTTCCTGTTCCTGCTTCACTCTCTGGGGAAAGAGAGGTTCACCCCCTGGAGCCTTGTCGTAGGTCAAGGGTGGATAGGAGTCGGCGAGATCCCAACCAAGCTGCGGTGCTTCGTGGGGTCTGCAGTGCTTATGGTGTCTGGTGTGGTTCTGATGGTCCTTGGTAAGCAATAGGAGCATCAATTGACAGAGGGTCCGTTACAAGGCTACATGTGAACAATTTGTTACATTACCTAAACCTGGCAAAACACCTAATGTTTGTTTAAATTTTCGTCCGATTTCATTATTAGTAATGATTAGAGTTGAGCGAACCTGAAATGGACATTAAGTTTTTTGGACCCCGGACCCGAACACGGACATATCACTGTATGTTCGAGTTGGAGTTCGGTGTTCGGCAATTTAATGGCGCATTTTCAAAGGCTGCAGGCAGCCAATCAACAAGCGTTTGACTCGTGTGCCCTTAGAAGCCATCAGAGCCATGCCTACTAATGGCATGGCTGTGATTGGCCAGTGCAACATGTGACCCAGCCTCTATATATAAGCTGGAGTCGCGTAGTGCCGCACACACATGAGCTCTTATTAGTGTAGGGAGAGGATGCTACCGCTGATAGGGACAGGTCAGGAAAGAATTCTGCAAACTAGTACATTAGTGGGGTGGGGTGCACTTCATATCTGAGAGTCAAATAGAAGCATCAAATACTGCTGTCACATTGCAGTTTTAAAAAGTCATTTTATTTTGGTGCTAAATAGTACATTAGTGGTGTGCACTTCATTGCTCAGAGTCAAATAGAAGCGTCAAATAGTGCGCTTACTGCGCAGTTGTCAAAATTCTAATTGTTTTGGTGCGAAACTGCTAAATAGTACATTTGCAGCCTGCACTTCATATCTGAGAGTCAAAAAGAAGCGTCTTATAGTTCGCTTACTGCGCAGTTGTAAAAATTCTAACTGTTTTGCTGCTAAACTGCTAAATAGTACATTTTGGGGGTGCTCTTCATATCTGAGAGTCAAATAGAAACATCTAATGGTGCGCTTACTGCACAGTTGTAAAAATTCTTATTTTCTGGGTGCTAATCTGCTAAATAGTACATTTGCAGCCTGCACTTCATATCTGAGAGTCAAATAGAAGCGTCTAATAGTGCGCTTACTGCGCAGTTGTAAAAATTCTAATTGTTTAGCTGCTAATCTGCTAAATAGTACATTTTGAGGCGAGCACTTCATATCTGAGAGTCAAATCTAAGCGTCTAATAGTGCGCTTAAAGTGCACTTGTAAACATTCTAATTGTTTTGCTGCTAATCTGCTAAATAGTACATTTTGGGGCCTGCTCTTCATATCTGAGAGTCAAATCGAAGCGTCTAATAGTGCCTCTTACAGCGCACTTGTAAACATTCTAATTGTTTTCCTGCTAATCTCCTAAATAGTACATTTTGGGGCCTGCTCTTCATATCTGAGAGTCAAATCAAAACGTCTAATAGTGCGCTTACAGCGCACTTGTAAACATTCTTATTTTTTTGGTGCTAAACTGCTAAATAGCAAATTTTGGGGGTGCACTTCATATCTGAGTGACAAATAGAAGCGTCAAATAGTGTGCTTACTACGCAGTTGTAAAAATTCAAATTTTTTGGGTGCTAATCTACTAAATAGTACATTTTGGGCATGCACTTCATATCTGAGAGTCAAATCGAAGCGTCTAATAGTGTGCTTACAGCGCACTTATAAACATTCGAATTGTTTTCTGCTAATCTGCTAAGTAGTACATTTTGGGGCCTGCTGTCCATATCTGAGGGTCAAATCGAAGCGTCTAATAGTGCGCTTACAGCGCACTTGTAAACATTCTAATTGTTTTGGTGCTGAACTGCTAAATAGTACATTTTGGGGGTGCACTTCATATCTGAGAGTCAAATTGAAGCGTCTAATAGTGCGCTTACAGCGCACTTGTAAACATTCTAATTGTTTTGCTGCTAATCTGCTAAATAGTATATTTTGGGGCCTGCTCTTCATATCTGAGAGTTAAATAGAAGCGTCAAATAGTGTGCTTACTGCGCAATTGTAAACATTCTAATTGTTTTGCTGCTAATCTGCTACATAGTCCATTTTGGGGCCTGCTCTTCCTATCTGAGAGTCAAATTGAAGCGTAACTTTGATTCAAATTTACTACTTCGATCACTTGTAATATTGTTTCACACCTACAACACTTGTTACACAGATCTAAGTGATAGAAAACAGATTGATATGTTCTACACTAGAAACTACCAGATAACAAGCTGCTATATTTAAACTAGTTATCAATAGCTAAGAGGTACTTAAACAATATTGTAGTTCTGGGGCAATACCCTCACAAGTCAAACTGAGAGGTCAGTTTATAGGGAAAACTGTTGCCTGGATACAATTCTAAAACAAGAATGCAGACTTTACATGCTGGAAAAACACAGGTGCCAACTGCTGTGGCTTTCTGCAGTGTGCAAACCGGCAAGAAGGGCAGGGTTGAGGAGTGGGTAGAAGATGATGTGAAGGATGATGAGGTCCTAAACCCCATATGGAATCATGGTCATGCGAGTGACGTATGCAGTTTGGAGGAAAAGGCGCTGGTCGCACAGAGGCACCAGCACAGCATAAGGGTGAGCAGGGTGCAAAAGCGGAGCGGCCGTCCCCTAGTGCTCGTCGGCATGTATTAGCTCGAAAATTACCAGTTATCCAAAGCGATCAAAGGATCCATAATAGAGTTGAGCGAACCCAAACTGCAAAGTTCGGGTTTGTAACGGATCACCTGGCAACCCAACTGGGTACCTCCGTTGAAGGATGCTCCTAGCGCTTCCTGAGGACTCCAAGCACTCTGGCAGACACCACAATCACTGAACCGGAGAAACAAATAAATTCTCCCAAGCATATGAATGCTGTAGACAGTTGAATAGGAACCATAAGAATAGGTTTACTCTCCTAGCAGTCAAACTGGAACAGCATACAATAAATCCTTCCCCCAATAATGAGACGACACTTCACTTTGAGGGTTAAAACAGGAACTCTCTGTAATGGCCACACACTGGCTTTTATGCAAGTCCCCATGCAAGGGGACATCCCACAGGGTGGGACACAGTACAACCAATCGTTACAGGGGAACCGTAAAACACACCCACATTTACATCACAATCCCTCCTCTCTGTCCAGGAGATAAGTGTAAAGTAATCCAATTATCTCCCAGGACAGAGGCAAGACTCCATTAACCACATGGCAGTAACAATACAATAAAAGACATAAAATTACATACAGTTACATTTATTCCATAAAACATAGACATTCTACATATCCCCAGATAGCTTAGATCTGAGTGCACATTACTACCGAATGGCGCTCAGATCACATAAATACAGTTCAATCGCCATGGAGCCAAAGTCTTTCATACAGTCTTTCAGTATACGGCTGGGCTCCATGGCATAGCTATCTGGGGTAGCATGGCTTTAACAGTCTATAGAAAGGCATGAATACGCTATGCAGGGAAAATAAAAGGTTTTAACTGCCGGGCCATAGTCTAAAGGGAGCAGGCGAGCAACCAGGCTTCTCCAGTGGACAGTGGCGAGGCTGGTTTTGCCACAGGGTTCGTACCAGATTTAACGATCCATTCGTAGTTTCACAGTCAGGTGGACAGTCCGGTGACCAGGACCCAGACACTGTCTGGGCAGCGGTTGGACAACCGGGACCCAGTATGCCTGATGTTGAAGTTAAGAGTCACAGTGTGGAATGGATTATCAGGGTCTGGTCCAGGGTAACCGCACGCCCCCTGGTGTTGAGCACCAGTGTTTGTGCGGCCACATGCCAGGACCATGATGCAGCTTCAGTAAACAGAGTATTGGATAACAGAAGCCATCACCAGACTGATCCGCAACTTGGAACTGGATGTGACTTTCACTGTAGCGGCTGTGCGCCCTTTCGGCGTTCTCACCCTGCTGCTGCTTGCCTGTCTGCACTGAAGCGTAAGTTTGGCCTTCCCACTCACTGCCTCTTATGCGACGTGCCCACAAGGTGGAACTCCACCTTGCACATGCTGGAGAGACTGTTTAAGCAGCAGCAGGCGATCGTGGAGTTTCAGCTGCAGCACGCACGGGTCAGTGGCTCTGCACCAGACTTCCCTCCAATTGATCAGAGTTAAAGGATTTCAAGTGGACTCATTACAATTACGGGGCCTCGAAAGAGTCCGGTATTGTTATTTGACGTCACTACCTTCCCGCGTCGGAAGTGGGTCATTTGCGCGCCTGCTGCCTTCCTTGCATGTGGTAGCTGTTTGCCAGGGTCCCTGTAAGGAATGGAACCCTGATTCCCCGTTACCCGTGGTCACCATGGTAGGTGCAGAAACTGTCATCGAAAGTTGATATGGATGACATCCGAATGCAAAGTCGCCGTCACGGGGATGTGAGATTGGCCCGAGGTTCTCTAGAGTCACCAAAGTGCCTACGCAACTATAATGTTAACAGCTACTCTGCGGAACACAGTTGTCCTTTTTTATAGTCTTTTTTTATATTTTGGGGGCTACCCCAATTAAAAATATATAGATATATATAAACAGTGTTGGCTACCTCATCCTCCTCCACCACCGTTTCCACCTACACCGCCACAGTCACCGCCTCCTCAACCTATGGGTCTCTTAGTATAAACTATGTACACAATAGCAGAGGCTAGTGAAGGTATTTTCTCCATGCATCAGGAGTTGAGCATTTCTCCATGCATCAGGACTGCAAAAATGCACTGCAGGACGCACATGTTTATTTTTTTGTATGTCCCAGTATTTTGGGTGCTACCCCAATTAAAATAAAATATATATATAGATAAACAGTGTTGGCTACCTCCTCCTCCTCCACCGCCGCTTCCACCTACACCGACACGGTCACCGCCTCCTCATCCTATGGGTCACTTAGTATAAACTATGTACACAATAGCAGAGGCTTGTGATGGCCTTTTCTCCATGCATCAGAAGTTGAGTATTTCTCCATGTATCAGGACTGCAAGAAATGCACCGCAAGCCGCAACTGTTTCTTTTTTTGTATGTCCCAATATTTTGGGGGCTACCCCAATTAAAAAAAAAAAAAATATATATATATATATATATATAAAAAAAACAGTGTTGACTATCTCCTCCTCCTCCACCGCTGATTCCACCTACACCGCCACGGTCACCGCCTCCTCAACCTATGCGTCACCTAGTATAAACTATTGTGATGAAGTGAAGGCAGAGAGGCCTTTAACATTTAACATTTCACCCCAGGGGAAGTACGTGTTGTATGTGTGGTGTGCAACACAAAGCTACATTTAGTTATGGGCCCCTGGGGTGGAGCATTTGGAGAGCAGGGTGGGCCAATGCTCCACTCCTCAGTTTATACACAACAGGCCAGAGGTCCAGGCCAGAGGTTTTTGGATCTGTCTCCAACCCACTGCTCAGCTGCAGATAATCAGCTGTATCAGTGGGAATAAACCCCTCCCTGCTAGGCAGGTAAAGGGGTATTACTGGCTTCCTCCCTGGCTGTTCTCTCCAGTGAGAGAGTCAAGGAGACTGAGCACTGGGAGTGCAAAAGGAAAGCAGTCAAGGCTGGCTTGGAGCACTGGGAGCACAGAAGGAAGCAGTCAAGGCTGGCTTGGAGCACTGGGAGTGCAGAAAGGAAAGCAGTCAAGGCTGGCTTGGAGCACTGGGAGCGCAGAAGGAAGCAGTCAAGGCTGGCTTGGAGCACTGGGAGTGCAGAAAGGAAAGCAGTTAAGGCTGGCTTGAGCACTGGGAGTTTAGAAAGGAAAGCAACAGGCTGACTGAGTGCAGAGAGCTGACAAAGACACAGGCCCCAGGGAGAGTGCGCAGCTTAGCGGACAGGGGCACATGTATGATTGTGGGATGAATGGTGCATGATTGGCTTTGTGCTACGTGTGGGAGTGTGAGATGTGAGGAAGTGGGTGGTGACAAAGCAGACTGTTCTGGGCCAGCAACAAGTTTCCTGTGATCCTCCTCCTCCTGTTGTTTGGGCCTGTAGGATTTTCGCCTGTGGCATGGACATCTATCTTGTCTGCCCTCAGGGCTAGTGCAACAGCAGACGGTGGCCAGCAGCTCCGCGAGCAGTTTGGGCACCTGCTCCAGCCGCCTGGCGATGTGGCTCCCCCTCCCTGCCCCCTGCGGTACCCTCCCTGGGTGGCCGAACCAGCGCAGGTCGGTGCACCCACCCTCCGGCTCGGCTGAGCCCAACTGCCTCTCCTCGGGCCCGGTACAGGAGCCGCAGCTCAGGCCTGAGGCAACAGCAGGCCCACGCGCGGGAGCAATGCTGCACACGTCCTGCAACTTTCCCGGCCGCCCTGATCTCTCCCGTGGCTTCTCATGTGGGCCGCCATCCTCAACGGCCCTCAGGTGCTCTGGCCCGGCGTTCAGCCCGGGTGGCGAGCGGGATGTCGTCTGGGGCCCCCACCTCACGGCTGGCAGTGGTGAGTAGGCCCCTGTGGGCCACGCAGAGTGGGCCTCTCCCACTACAGATGGGTGGAGGGGTTTCTTCCCCCAATTCTGGGCTTTCTGACCCTCATGGTTACCCCCTCCCTTCCCCCTCACTTGATCTCACCTGCCTGGGGGGTCCGCGGGGCAGGTGTCCCCCCAGTCATCTTTGTGGGTGGGGGTGTCGCCCACACTCCCTGGGCCTCTTGGCCCCATTCAGCCTGTCCACCCTCCCGTTACTGCCCCCCGGTCATCCATGTTGGTGGGGGTGTCCCCCTCGGTCCCTGGGCCTTTTCTGCCCCCCCGTCCTCCGGGGGGTCCACGTTTCTAGTGGTTACCCCCTTTGCTCCATCCCTTTCTCTCGGGCCCGGGGGTTCCCCCCGCCGGGTCCTCACTCCTGGGGGCCTCTTCTGGGCCCTTTTCTCCCCCCTGTCCCTGTTCCCTCTCTCTAACTCCCCTCTCCTGCCCCCCCTTTACCTCTTTCCTACTCTGCCTTCCTCCCCCCTGTCCTCCTCTCCCCTGGCCACTGGGTCCCACCTGCCCCTGGTAACCCCTCCCCCCCTACTTACCTGTCTCGGCAGCCTCCTGTGCAGGGGCGTGGGCTCACAGTCTCTTCACTGCTTCCTCATGCTCTGGGTGCTGTTGCCGGACCCGTCCACCAAATGGCACCTGGAGCTGTGGTGAATATGGACACTGCTGTTCAAACCATGGAATCCTCTTCACAGGTTGCTGCTGCTGCTCTGGTGCCGCCAGTGGGTCCTGGGGCACCGCCAGGTGAGTCACATGTTCCTGCGCTTGCTGGGGCGTCCACGCTGGGTGGCTTTATGTCGGGTCTGCAGGAGCTATTTTCCCAGTGGGAGCGAGGGGCACTAGCGCAGGGATCCCATGGGTTGAATGGTCAGCTGCGTTCAGTGTGGTCCCCTCCATTGCCCCAGACGTGTTAGGCTACGGTAGGGGGCGCAGGTTCGGTTCCTGGCACGGTGGTTAGCGTTCATGCGACTCCGCCTCCCATGCCCACCGCGGCCAGGGGAGGGGTGGCAACGGGGGGGGTGCTGGATAGTACAGCAGGTGTCGCCGACGTGGCTAGAGGGGCAGCATATATGTGCTGGTCGGGTCCCTTGGGCTTACATCTGAAGCCCGAGGTCAGGGACAAGATCTTGAATTCATGGAGATATTTTCCCTGTTGTCCTTGGAGAACGCCCCTCCTCCGGGGGTCAAGGAGGGGAAAGAGTCGGACAAGGATAAGGAGAAGATCCGTTACAGGAAGATTCCGAAAACTTTCGGGAACTGGGTGCGGGCGTTTTCCATTTTGGCGAGCGTGATTGGGGAAAAGGCTCCCCAGCACTGCTCGACGCTTATTTGCTATCAGGACACCATTTGGAACGCGTGTCCAACCTATGGTGGCCTGGGTTGGTGGTGCTGAGACGAACCATTTCGTCAGCAGCTCGCTGTCCGCCCCTCTATCTCTTGGGATCAGATGGACATTGGCCTGTGGCTGTCCATCATGACTCGCCCGGCGGCACACCAAGGGGGGGCATCATCCTTTCTTGGGGGGGCCAATGTGGGGGGGCGGCTCTGCCCCATTGGCCACACACAGGCGGCCGGGCTGTTGTTGGAAGTTCAAAGACAGCTAATGCAAGTGGGGAGCAACATGTTGTTTTAAACACAAATGCTCCCATTGCGGGGGTTCCCACTCGGCATCCTGCTGCTTTAAGCGGGGTAAGTCTGGGGACAAAGGCGACGTGGGGCTTAAGGATGAAGACGCCAGTGGCCGTGGACATGATGCGCCCCTGGCTTGGCTGTTATAGGAACCGCCGGGCCGCAGAATTGCTGCTGGAGGGCTTTACCCAGGGGTTTTGGATTCCCTTCTCGGAGCACCCCTCCTCTGGGGCAGTCCAGAATTTGAAGTCAGTGTTTGATTTTCCTGATGTGGTCCTCAAAAAGCTCCGGAAGGAGGTTTCACTAGGGCGGGTGGTGGGGCCGTTCGAGGCCCCTCCATTGTCCAACTTGCGGGTGTCTCCCTTGGGGGTGGTGCCCAAGAAGGAGGCGGGGAAATTTCGCCTAATTAACCATTTATCGTACCCTCACGGGGGCTCTGTAAATGATGATATCTCTGCCGAGCTGTGTCGGGTGTCTTATGCTTCCTTTGACGCAGTAGTATGCATGGTCAGGGCGGCAGGCCCCGGGGCATTGCTGGCAAAGGCGGACGTGATATCAGCTTTTTGCTTGTTGCCGGTGCACCACGATTGCCATAACCTCCTCAGCTGTTATTTCCAGGGCCAGTACTATGTAGATATGTGCCTCCTGATGGGGTGCTCCATATCCTGCTTTTACTTTGAGTGCTTCAGCAATTTCCTGGAATGGGTGGTGCGGCAGGAGTCAGGAATCGACTCACTGCTGCATTTCCTTGACGACTTCCTGTGTGAGGGCCCTGCGCATTCTCCGGCATGTAGGAGCCTGCTCACCATGGTGGAAAGGGTGTTTGGGCGCTTCGGGGGTTCCCCTTGTGCACGATAAGACTGTGGGGCCGGTAACGTGCCTTAGCTTCCTGGGCATCGAGATAGATTCGGTGGCCATGGAGTGCTGGCTGCCCTTGGACAAGGTGGAAGGGTTGTGCCAGGACGTGGCGGTAGCACGGGGCTTGCGGAAGATACAGCTATGCCAGCTGCAATCGCTGTTGGGGAAGTTGAACTTTGCATGCAGGATCATGCCCATGGGGCGGATTTTTAGCAGGCGCCTAGCGGCTGCGACCACTGTGGTGGCAAGGCCTCGGCACTACATTAGGCTCACGAGGCAGTTACGGGACGATTTGGACGTCTGGGGTACATTTTTGGCAGATTATAATGGGAGGTCATATTGGCAAGCGCAAGAGGTGTCCGGTGCGGATCTCTATTTCTATATTGACGCGGCGGGTTCCGTCGGCTTTGGGGCGATACTAGGGTCACGCTGGTAAGCTGACACTTGGCCAGAGGACTGGTACGCCTCTGGCCTGACTAAGAATCTGTCTTTCCTCAAACTTTTCCCCACTGTGGTGGCGTTGGAGCTCTGGGGTCTGGACTTACGGGATCGGCGGGTTGTCTTTCACTGTGACAACCTGGGGGTCGTGCAGGCGATTAACCAGCTCTCTGCCTCCTCCCCGCCGGTAGTTCATTT